AAAGTGTTTTAGTTTCATTAAACTATACAAAGTTGTCTTAATAATAATAATAATAATAATATAATAAATACAAATCAGCACAAATCCGATTACATCCAAATAAAACCAAAACTTTCAACACTGTCGCTGCCGCCGTCTCAGTCGTCGTCGTCGCTGCTGCTGCAAAGTTTTGTTTATGCCATGATTATATGCATGTTTTTTGCTGGGACTGGAATGTGTGGCATGTGATATGCGGCACGCAACGGTAATCAGAGGCCAAGATGGCTGCAACAGCGACACAACAACAGCAACAACAACAACGACAACTGCAGGCAACAAGTTTCATTTTGTGCAGCAAGAAATCAATGCTACGGCACCCAATCAGAATGCAACTACACACTCACACGCACCCACACATACATCAATGCACATGCACTGGCATTGGGATGCTGCTGCACTGTCTGCCAACTCGCTCGCACACACGCACGCAATTGGCCTCCAACACCCAGCAAAATGGCGGACCATGCACAGTGCACATAAATTTGAAGTTCGCTGGGACGTTTTGTTGTTATTGTTGCTGTCCCAGAAATTGTCTCGGCTGCTGGCAGCCATCGAATATACAGTTATATTGTAAATATGTGCAATAATTCGCACTTGCAAATGCAATGCGACCCAACATTAATATGCTCAACGCGTTGATTAAATTTATTTGATTATTTGGCTGCCGTGCAGTCCAATCAGCAGCACATCTGCAAACCGTTACACGCTGCAACTTCGGAACTGGGGGAACAATCCCCCAGAGAAGACCCAAATTTACATAAAAATGATTTACTGTCATGGCCAATGAATGACTTATGCTCTAAAAATGTATATGTATATAATATTATTAGCTGGGTCTTATCGGTTATATATAAAATAATATAAGAAAACTTTTAAATTACATAAAATATTCAGATTCTCGCGCCAAATTCCCTTTCGGATATGCTAGCGCCATCTACATGTCAATATCGAAAGTAAATATTTATTTGGCGGGTTGTCATTCGATTTGTTTGAATTTGAGGACCTTTGGTTCACGTAATCGAGCGAGATATCGATGCACATGTGCCATATATCGTAAGCAAATATTATGACGATATGTATGCCATATCGATATATTACCATCCCTAGTCCAACGAAGTATTGGGGTGTTTGGGAAATGTTCGATATTTGCGTAGAAATTTTCAAAGTAAAACGAAAAACAATGTATTAAAGTTGCAATTAATTACTGCTAAAGGAGTGGTCAACATACATTGCAATCGTGTATCCAAAACGCAACAAACGCATTCGCATTAGGTGGCGCCAGTGTTAAACTGTATGTGCGTGTATATCCAAACCAAAGAAAATTGAAAGAAAAAGCAAGACCCAGCGCAGAAGATGTGTCTATACTACGGCCTAAATGAATGAAATGTGAAGTGTGTGTGTATATGTAGGCGAAGGCGATACCAGCTAACTGTGCATGTGTGCATGCGTGCGTGTGTATGTGTGTGCGATAGTATGTGTATGCGTATTCGCCTAACGCTCGCATCTGTGTGCGTGTGCTTGTGTGCTGCACACTGAAAGAATCAATAAAGGATGTGGTGTGGATTTTTGCAGCAGCAGAACCAGAAGCAGGAGCAGGACCAACGAAAACCAACAAAAACCAAATAAAAAAACCAACGACAACAAAAACAAAGCACCGCAGCAAAGAATAAATTGTAACATTTAATTTTTTTGCGATAGTTTTGAACACAGTAAAACTTGTAACGGTAAATGTTGCAAAAAGAAAATTTGATAACTGTAATATGTGTGGCTGTAGTGAATAGTGAATTGTAAAGCGAAAAAAGAAGAGCGCAAGAGTGCGTGTGCGAAAAGGAAATTAAGAAAATTAACAAAATTAAAGAAAATCGAAATTAAACTTCAGTCARTCAATCAATCAATCAGCGCAACATGAAGTGCTGCGTAATAATTACGACGCTAATGCTGCTGTCCATTGCACGTAAGTGTTGCAAAACTCATTAGAACACAAATATCTATGCATATCTGTATGTGTGTGTGTGGGTGTGGGTGGGTGGGGCATTGATTGATTGATTGATTGATCGAATAATTGGTCTATTTGTAGGGCACATTGGCACTGTCGAGGTGCATTTCGAAGCACCTGACAGCGGCTTCTTCCTGAAGCACGCCCGTCAACCACCTGTGACGCCGGAGATTGCCAACATCCAGACCTCCTCCTCGGTGCCGCCCCTGAAGTCACGCCCCTCCTATGATTCCGTCTTATCCCTAGATCGCTTTACCGTCGTGGAGACCACACAACCCGTCTCTATACGTGCCAGCTACGGCCCGTTCTCGACCAAGCAAACGGTGCCCGCTCGCTACATTGTGCCGGACACCATGGAAACCAATCAGGCGGGCGACTATGTGAACGTAAGCCGCCATTGAGTACTGAAGTGTGATTTCGTTTGCTTAACCCGCATCCATCTCTCCCTCTCTCTCTTTCTCGTTCTGTCTCTCTTTCACTAACTTAGAATTCGACGGCCACACTGCTGGAGTTGCAGCAGCCGAACATGCACCTGGACATCTCGGCGCACTTGGTGCGCGCTAGTGTCTCGCAGGATTCGCCAGTGCTGCGTGTCCTCTTCCATGCTGGCGCCGATCCGGGCGGTCATTTGCAGCGACAGAAGGTCTGCGTGCTGCTCCACGTAGCCATGCCCAATGAGCAACCATTGAAGGGACGTTGCATGCCCGAAGGCGAGGACGGCGTTTGTGTGGCCGAGGTGGTCATTCCACTGAACTGGTGGCCAGCTCTGCCAGCACCTAGGCACAGTCGCGAGGGCAGCGGCAACAGCGGCGCGGACGGACAGCCACAATTGCCGCCCAAGGTGCCGCAGCGCTACGCTCAGGTCTCCTACAGCGTCTTCGAACCACCAGTGCGCAATCCGGAGCAATGTGAGCCGAAGGTCCAGATACAGCCGCTGACAACATTTGCCCAGGTGCCGCTGCTGGCAGCCAAGACATCGTTCAAAGAGCTACGAGCGGATGATTCGGTTACGTTCCTGTTACCCCAACATCCCCTATATCCCATGTCCAAGTTGCACGTGCCCGTCTTTCTGCATCAGTATGCGGATCAGGAGCAGCGCGTCGCTGCATTTACAGTGCGCGCCCGGGTCAAGGCCGGGCTACGCATCTTGGGCGCCAGCGCCTCCAGCGACCAGTGGAGCATTAGCATTGAGAAGGAGAATCCCAAGCATACGACAGCGCGAGTCACAGCCTTCCGCAAAGAAGTCGACTCGTCCTCCTCATCCTCGGCCACATCCAGCATGGAGAACAGAGGCAGCTACAACAGCAGCGGCAGCAGCAACAGCAATGAGGTCTACGAAGTCTTCTCCTGGCTGCTCGAGGTCGCCGACGACTCCAACGACATTGTGGATGGCGGAAAGATCGTGTGGTCAGTCACCCATGTCTATGACACGCCTAAGGACAAGGATTCCGCCGAGCTGATTGCCACAGATGACACAAAGAAGCGCTTGATTGCCAAGCTGGAGATCAACAAGGATGACATTCAAGCAGTATTGCCCATGGCCAAGATCTGGGAGGTGATGAACACAGCGGTGCTCACTGGCCGCCAGGTGGCCCAGGCCATGAAGGTCTTCATTGTCTCGCAGGCGGGCAAAGTGGCTGATGTTACCCTGCAGAGCTCCTGTCATGCCGAGGACGAGAGCGTCATCAAGGTGAAGAGAGAGAGAGAGAGCGAGAGGAGAGCTAAATGTATTCTCATTTTATGCTGCATTTCCCATTTGTTTAGGTCTCCTCGTCGTGCAGCTCCGTTTACGTTGATGGCTCCGAGCAGCGCGGCTCATCCAATGCGTCGGTCATTGTTAAGTATGGTACCTATGTGGGCGTGGCCAAGTTCATTGTCTGGATGCCCGAATTTCCGCTTGAGGTTTACATAGCCGACTTTCGTCTATCCCAAATCAAGGGCTGGAAAGTAACCGATGACAGCCATTATCTGTAAGTGTGTAACGAGTAGACAACAGCTAGAAAGTAATGAAAGATTAGCTAGAAGTGCGATAAAGCAACGACTCAAAAATGGCCTCGTGAAACCTTACCATGAGCTTATATATAGCAAGTTCATCGTAAGAAGAATCGAGAATGAAATAGACCAATACAAATTAGGAGCTACGCACAGCATAGGTTAATTGATTTTCCGATCTTCACAGCCACAACAAGCAGTCGAGGCGTCGCAAGAAGCGCTCGTATATGTGGAACCAGCACGGCACCAGCTACTACAACAATGTGGGCGCCGACAAGAGCATCTGTCGCGCACGCTACCAGCAGAGCCCTGTGGAGGTCTACGCCAAGTTTCTGGCCATCGATCAGGTGAGCAAGTGGACTCCCGATGCACCAAGCAAACTAATCTACATACGAGTCTCCGATCTCTGTACAGAACTCTGGGCGCACCAGCTACTTCATTTCACGTCGAACTGGACTGCGTGTGACGGATCTGGTGCAGCCGCTGCTGCGTGTTGCTGATCCAAAGATCGCCTCGCTGAAGGGTCGCATACTGCAGGGCAAGTCGATGGGTCGCACCGATGTCCAGGTGCTGTCGCCCATTACGGGCCGTGTCATTGGCACCAAGGAGATACGCGTTGGCAGCGACAAGGTGAGTCTCTCCCGTCTCATTGTGCGCGTCATCTCCGGACTACAGCTGACCATTACGCCGGAGAATGCCATCGAGAACGGCTATCTGGCAGAGACGTCCGTCACACACAAGCTGACGGCCCAGTATCAGGAGGGCTTGCTGGACATCGATCTGGAGTTCAATGATGGCTCAAAGACGCCTTTGCGGTAAGCGATCCATCAGCTTGAATTATGCGTGCAGATCTTTTCAATTGTTGGCTCTTTGCAGCGACATTGCTGTGGAGGATTACTTCCTGCTGGTGGAGAGTCTCGATACGGAAGTGGTGGCCTTTGCCCCCATGCTCGCCTCACATCATCCGCGCGTCATCGCCGTGGGCGAGGGCAATGGCAATCTGCTGCGCGTTACGCTCTTGCTCTCCGAGGAATGTCGCATGCGACGCGGCCCCGGCGGCTCCTCATCGAGCAGTTCCAAGCCGAACAAACCGAACGCGGCCCCATTAGCCAGCGCCCTGGCCTCCATCGAGGTGGACTTCAACAATGTGGACATTGTCAGCAAACAGGAATCGATACAGAACGACGGCACAGTGGGACGCGAGCGCAAGAACTATCGCAACACGGGAGACTTGGCTGACATTATAGGTAAGCGCATTCATCCATTCAGCTACTCAGCTCGTTTTACTAACGATCTGCTCTGACCAGTTGGAATTCCGCTGCGCGACTCCAGCCAACAGTACGAGCCGACGGTGCAGGCGCGTCAGCACCGGGCGAGCATTCAGGCAGTGCACAAGTCGCACTACGGCAATCGAGGCGGCTTGGGCAGTGGCAACATGTCCTCCATGGAGCTGGGCATGTATGTGCTCCTGACAGCCTTCTGCTTTGCCATTATTGTGTTTGTCATCTCGTGCGTGGTTTATGCGTCGAAATTCCGGCCAGCCATGATTGAATCTGGTCTCGATCCGCTCAGCTCCGGCAATGGCAATGGCAATGGCAACGCTGGCGGTTTCCGTGACGTACGCCTCAAGGAGTCCACCACCAATGCCCACGACTGGGTCTGGCTGGGACGCTCCACCATCGATAGGCAATCGGTGGCAATGAACGACACCAACACTCCGCAACCGCAGCCGCAGCAGCAACATGTGAATGCACGCGGTAAGCTTCAACCAGCTGCACATTATCCCCTCCAGAAATAATGGTAATAAAACGGATTATTCTGCCTTTTAGACTCTCGCATGCGCATCACCAGCAATCCGATTATCAACTACGACAATGGACGGCGCGTCAGCTCCTTTGACCAGCCGCAGCCCAAGCTGCAAACGCACATTGTGCCCGCGTCCAATCTCAACAAGATTCACGCCGAACAGTAGGTGCACCCATGCCACATATTTGAATGCAACTAACCAGCTTTCGTCTCTCCTTAGCTATCTGTCCAATGACCGGAAGGACGCTGCCCTGGACTACAAGCCCCCAGTGCCGCCGCACCGCAATGTGGGCACACGCGCCATGTTGCCGCCACAGGCGGCACCCGTTAAGGTAGAGTCTGAGAGAAGCTGGAACATCTTGAAGACTAGTGTTAATTGATTGTTTTCTATATAATGCAGGACAAGGAGTTGATGAACAAGCGACACAGTCAGCTCTACAAACGTGAGCATTTGCAAAACAACGAGAACAACAATGCGACGCAGCAACAGCCGCATTTGTCGCTGCAACAGCAGCAACAACAACAACAACATCAGCCGCCGCACCCACAGCCGGAACGTCAGCCAACGCATCAGCATCACCCGGAACGTCAGCATCAGCGCAGCCACAGTCATAGCCACAATTTTATCCAAGAGCCAGCGCTCAGAGCCGCACACTTGAAACTCAAACAGCATCAGCAAATGCAACAGCAGCAGCAACAGCAACAGCAACAGCAGCAGCAGCAGCAGCAACAACACGAGGAGTTGCACAATGCTGAGAAGCTAGTGGAGTATACAAATCCGCATCAGAAGAATGCATTTCAATTCGATTCGCTAACACCAAAGAGAGTAACCAAAGCAGCAAATGCTGCTGGACCAGCTTCAGCAGCAGCAGCAGCAGCAGCAGCAGCATCAGCCGCCGTACCAACAGCACCAACAGTTGCAGGCAACAAAATATCGCCAGCTGTAATACAAATCAAGGGTAGGTCAATTATAAATATCATATATAGAACAAATTATAATCAAGATTCCCTTGCTCTGCAGAGAATCACAACCACAGCATTTTGAGCACTGTTGCGGATGCGGCCAATTCGAATGCCACTGATGAGATTGCCCGGCTGCCGACATCGTCCGGTCACACGGTCACGCCCGTTAGCAGTGAGCCAACAACAAAATCGTCGCGGGTCAAACGGGCCACAGTTGTTGGCAATCCGATGTTCTCGTCCGCCGTGGATGATACGCTGGCACCGGGCGAACGTTTGGGTCTCGATGATCTCGACATGGACTACGAGCAGATCATGCACTATTTCGACAACCTAAAGGTCCGTCTCCAAAGATTCTTCTCCTTATTATATGATAGATATATGCATATATTGATTGATTGATTGCAGGAGTCAAATGCCTGAGTACAGGAGATCATTGCTAAAATTCGCGAGATATTGTCAACATTTCAACAACGATATCAGAATGTCGTTACACCCCTACCAACGCCCACGCGAAAGCAGATCCAAATGCTCGACGAGCTCGTCGCCGTTGGAGTCGATGTTGGAATTGGAGTTGAGAAGAAAGCAGAAGCAGGAGAAGCAGCAACGGGTTTGCCGCCAGAGCCATGTCTGCACAATTTTCAAATTCCAAGCAAATGCAACTAAAGGGTAACTAATACACACATACACACAAATACATAAACACATACACACAACATATAACCGCAATTCTAGCAATCCAAAACTTAAAGAATACTCACAGCATAAAAATGAAATCCAGAGTTAAATGCGACGCTGAAAACAAGAAAAATATTTATTGCCTAGGCTAAGTTCATAACATATAAAGCATATACATAGATATATATATATATGAGTATGTATATGTATATACATATATCGTGCATAATTGATGTTCATATGTCGTAACAGCTACTCAAATGTCTCCTAGTCCTCATCCTGTAACACTTCTTTGCCAGCACAAGTGGGCAAATGTTTGTTAATCGAATACGTCTAGAATTAAGAATATAT